ATTCCTGGCTGCTCCCCTGTATTSTCTGACCCATCCTCAGAAGCTGCAGGGGTGTTTAACTCAGCAAACAGAGGCTGAGGAATCCCAGCCCTGCTGAAGGGAATGATCAGATCTCCTACAGCTCCAYTCTGGCAATTCAGCATCACTCGACYGCAAAATGCAGAGRTGTTTTGTAAAAGACTATAAAACCTAAAGATAAAATCAATCTTAKAAATGCAGAAGTCTTTTTTATCTAATTTTTCTGCCTTAGCATTTATCCAGCTTTAAGCAGTACAAGTCATCAGATAACCACACACTCAATTTCTAGTTTTTCCAAGGCCTCCTGGCTCATTTTGCAGCACATTCAGAGTCCTCCATCCAAAGAACACATCTTTGCCTACTGAAATTTCTTGTCAGCACCTCTATGAGTGAATTCTACACTTCCCAGTGCAGTTTGTTTTGTTCTGGGGTTTTCTTTCAGGTGACATCAGATCCATCAGGAGACATCCCTGGCACAGGGTCAGAGTTTCAGGTCCCTGCAGCCCCCTCTGGGAACAMATCCCCATCAGTGAGGAGCTGTGATGTGGTTATTTAGTGCAWCATCCCCCTTTAGGGACCCCATCGCCCCTGATGCCTGATGATTTTTGCTTTTCCCTTTACACTTCTTTGTACCCTCTGTGCATCCGCCTGTACCTCTTAGTCCACATGTTTGTAATTCCTGGAGCCTGATATTCCAGCTTAGTTCAGGAGTTCTGCTGGGCAGAGAGACCAAACATCCTCAGGAAGGGCTCAGTGTGCCCTGTGCTATCTTAAACCCCAGCTCAGCCTTGGGTGAAGCCTTCTGTCCAGAACATCTTGTGTAAACTGGGCTCTGGCCTCATCCAGGATTCATTAGAATAAGAAGACATTACTGCATTTGTTAAGTTTCTTATTGGGGAATCCTAGATAGATATGCTAATTCCTGAAACCTATAAAACTTGTACCCGTGCTGTACACGGGTGTGCATTCTGCCATCAAGTTGTGCACCTGGGATCCCAAATCCCGAGGTAAAACCCTCTTTATCCCCTTAACCGTATCTGTGTCATTATTAAAAACTGGCCTTTCAAGGCAACACCCCTGAGCCAGAGCCAGCAATGCACAGCCCTGCACTCCACACGAGCTGTGTAATTCAGGATCAAACAAAACTTCAGCACAGAGCTTTGGTTCCAGCTGAGCCATCCTTCCAGGCTCCACAAATCCAGCTCAGCTTCCAGAAGAAGCCAGAACTGCCACACTGTGAAGAGGAGAAGTTTGCCATAATTGAAAAAGGGTTTGCCAATAATGTCTTAAGAAACAAATGTGCAGCAATCTCTTGGTGCCTGAGAGAAATGCAAAAAGCACATCACATCATCATGAGTTTGTGTCTGACAGGGCCACTGCATTTCTGCCAAGTGCCTTCCTCACAAGCTTTTCCTGAGACAATGGAGGAAGAAAAACAAACAAACAAACAAACACTGAGTCTGTTCAGAGCAGTGATTGCAATAGGACCTGGCTGCTCTGAACACACAACAAAAACCTGAACACAGCCAGAGGGGCACAGAACATCGAGGATTATCTCCATGCTCAAATGCACTCAGTCAAGTTCAAATGCTAAAGTGAAAGATTGTCAGCTAGACAATGACTTCATAAACTGCTCAGGGCTTTGGGCGGCCACTGAAAGCATCCTTCACTGCATCTGTGTGGAGTTTTAAAGAAATTCCAGGGGACTGAGACACTTTTTCTGAGTCAAGGGCTGTAGAAAGTCCAGCAGTGGCCATACTCCTACAGCCAAAAACAAACACCCACATCTGCAGAGAGTTCTACACTCTCAGGGGGAATTGCCTGTTCTCTACATGTGCATCAACATCATAAACCAACATCTGTAAATACAGGGCTGGTTATAGTCAATGTTGGACCAGGCTGATTCTTGTTAATCAAATCGATAAATAATAATACACAGCAAGAAGAAAAAATAGGTGGGACCCAGTGCAGGAGGATGAGATCAGCTGCAAGCAGGCTGCTGTCCTGTGTGAACTTCCATTTAATTAYTGTTTATCAGAGAACAGCCCTTAGTCCTGCATTCAAAGTGCCTGAGAACATTCGGTACAAAAGCTTCGGTAACTCATCCTCAAAATTATTCTGAGCCACTGGAGCCATAATTACACTGTCATAATGAAGAGGGAAAAAAACTCTTCTAACAACTAAATTCTGGTTGTAAATTGCATTATGAAAGTGGTAATTCCCTCTGAAGGAGGCATTATCATGTCTTACTGCCCACATCAGTTCATTATGGTGCCTCTGCTCTCCCAGCGGAGCCTTCTCTGGGTAAATGAATGTTTTGGGATGATATTGCCAACTCGGGACTTATTACTTAATTGAATATGGAAACATTTAGGCCATTAGCATACATTTAGAAGTGTCTTATTTCACAGATGTTAATTTATCTTGGGGAATGCCCTTCTTTCTTCCCTCCTCCTTTCTCTCGTTCCATTCTTTCCCTGCAGCCAGCTTATTTATTCTGTTAGGTCCTAGTTCACCCATTTGCAAGCCCATGGTGAACAGCTCATTATTTGAAACCCTTCCCAAACTGAGATTTGARGTCTATTTTCCAAAAAGTGCACAGCCAAGCACTTCCCATCTTCCCTCACTGCTGAAAAGYATCACCAGCTCTGGGTGATTAAGAAAGCCTAAACACCTCTAGCCAAATAATGAGATTTTTTCAGGCATCCCAAATTGTTTTATCCACCTAATTATTACAAGATCTCAAAGGCATGCATGAAGCTTTTCCTGGCAGGTATCTCGCTTTGGGAATTTTTAACTGAAGTATAATATATTCCTTCTAACAAAAGGGTCAAGAAGCTAGAATAATCCAATGAAGGAAATTCCCACATTAGGAAATTTCCTTTATTATTAATAGATATTGGGAAACTGAGAGTAAATTCCTGCAACTGGCCAAGAGGCACAGGGTCCAAGTAAGCTCCCAGTGACTGCAGAGGGGAAGTTTTGGAGTTTTCACATTTCAGGGAGGGGTGAATGTCTGTATGCTCACAAACACGGTGTTTCTGCTGCAGCTCCTCCAATTTTGGATCGTTCCTCACAGCAGCTGTGATGTTTATTCTCCAGTCACAGCTCCCCTCCTTTCCCACACAGAAGGGCAGGATGGTAATTTAAACACCTCTCTGAACTACAGTGGGAACATTCAAAAATTCACTTTCCCTTCTGCCTTCAAATTTGTCCACAAACAATCGCTTCTGAGGGTATGACTGACRTTTTTCTTTCAAGTTTTACAGATTGCTCCAACCTACAGATTGGCAAAGCAATTACTGTCTCTGCTAAATCCAGAGCACAGACATGACTTAGAGTCTCTCAACACAGAATGAGTTATCAAATAAAAATAAAAATAAATTCAAAGTCAATTAGCATTTCTAGCTGCAGAGGAAAAAAAAAAAAAGCCTTTGTAGATGAACTCAAAGTTGAGGACCTAGATGCAAGAAATCCTATCCCTAAMGTAAAATAATAAACAAAGCAACCAAGCAAGGAAAAACCCAGGAGATGATTTAAAGCCATTTTCAGTATCTGTTAGCTTGAGTAATGAATACTTGCAGYAGGCAATTCCTCAAAAAGATGACAATCCTTAAACCCAAACCCCCCTCAGAGCTTTTAGCCATTAGATCTAAAGATTTACAAATTGATATCTTTTTGTTGATATGCCTTTACAAAGCACATTGCACCAGAGTTCACCAGGCACAGTTGAGAAAGGAAGAAGAGCCTTCAGCCTTCCCTGGCCACCAGCACATGAAAAGGTGAAAAAGGGGAAGCAAGCACTGAATGAAGCTGAGAAATCACCCACTTTCCTAACGTTCAGTGCTGCAGCCCAAGCTCACAACCCACAGCAATATTCCATTGTTACCCATCACCTATATTTTATCTCCTGCCTCTCCTCTAACTCTCACRCCCATACAGWGTCAAGACAAATACTTTTAATTTCTCTAGTTCATTAAAAAACAAAACCTAGGCCTTGGCTCTTACAGCCCAACTCTTTCACCAAATTAAAAACAGTCCATCAGTTTCACCTTCACTCCTCTAAATCTTCCCTTGTGTAGAACAACAGCACAAGATAAAAACCAAAGGTACCTTTCCCTACAGCTTTTAGTGTTCACCAGTTTCTAGAAGGCTCCCCTTAAACACTGTCCCCTTTCTAATAGAAAATTGTCTTTACCCTAAGCACAATGGTTCTGAAACAAAAACTATTCAGCAGTGGTGAATAATTTTTTACTTTTGGCTGGTTGGCATGTGTGTTTCCTCATTTTTGACCTGTCTATCCTATATTTTCCATCTGTTCAAGCCATGATTTCCAGTCCACTGGAGCAAAAGCAATGGTAAAAAAGCATTTTGCCAGCAGCCCTTGGCCTCACTTTGTGAACACAGTTCCAAATCCTGCTGCCACTCCAGGCAGAACTTACAAAAATAATGGATTGCTTCAAAATAAAAATTAATACAATTTTCCTCATCAGAGTTATGTTGGGGGAGGGGGGAAAGGAGCTTTTCCTTCAGAGCTCCGAATGAGAAGAGACCCAATGAACAGAGAACATGTCACCGAGGGATGACACAGATCCCACAACTCTGACCAAAAAACTCAACAAAAAAAAAAAAAAAACTTTGAGATGCTGTAACCATATCAAATGAAAGAATGGCTCCTTAAAAGCACAGTTAAACAATATTACAGCTACTCTGAAAGCCACGTACCCTTAGAAAAGGAGGTCAAGAGRAATCAAAACTCAAGAAAGCAACATRAGGAACAGCAAGTTGTTTTTAAAAGGTAACAGCAAACACTTTTAAGACAAGAATGCCACACTTTTCATTTTGAACTGATATTTGCTACCTATTTTTAGCTTACTTTTTGTTTTATGATACCTTAGATCTCAAAATAAAAAGCTACAATTCAAACACATCTTCTCCTTTTTGTTCCAGAAAATCCATTTTAGAGGCATTCCTTTAAAAGCTCAAGATTTTTCATCCTAATTTAAACAAAGCAAGGTTTTTGAAAATTTTATAAACCTACATGTAACRTAATTATCATGGTTGTAACTAGCTCCACCTTTAATGGATTACAGCTCATGGAAATAGAGATGCTTTGAAGTGAGATTTCCAAGACTCTACATCAACAGAGTAAAAACAATGAAGATTTTTTRCCTTAATTCTCTTTTAGATTTTAAAAAAAAAAAAAAGGTTTTAACGCTTATATCTAAACCAGCCTTCAAATGTAGAAGGAATGGAACATAGGGGCAAACTCAAAAAGAGAACTGGACACTGGCACTTACAGGAGCTCCCTCAACACCTCAATCTTGGGAAGAACGAGGGCATCAAACACCAACCACCGCCCCCTCGGGCAGCTTTTCACTTTCAGAAATTGTTTTGGTACATCAGTAACGCTTTGGGACCTCAAACATCCTGGAATAGGGAACCAGGCTTAGAGCACAAGAGATGTTGGAACATGGGAATCCTCCTCACATGCCCAATTCATGCTCATTTCCTGTAAACAACCCTGCAGGTTTAAACTTTATTAAYCTCAGCATGAGTCCAGTGAGAGATAAGGAGAATTGCAAACTCCAGCTGCCCAGACTTTATCTCCTCAGTTCTAAGAGGAGATAACATCTAATGTCCCAGCTCTACCATTGCAATTTTTGTAAGCATTCCTCAAAGGACAACCTCAGGACAAGGCCCTTCTCACTCCGARATCACAACTCAGACAATCCACACAATATCAAC